AGAGAGAGAGAGAGAGAGAGAGAGAGAGAGAGAGAGAGAGAGAGAGAGAGAGAGAGAGAGAGAGAGAGAGAGATACAGAGAGAGAGAGAGAGACAGAGAGAGAGAGAGAGACAGAGAGAGACAGAGAGAGAGAGAGAGAGAGATAGAGAGAGACAGAGATACAGAGAGAGAGAGATACAGAGAGAGAGAGAGAGAGAGGAGCAGATGCTGAAGTGTAAACGAACCGACGTGTCTCTACATCAAAGAACCTTTAAGTGTTTGTTTTTTTGATTTTATTTATTTTTTGTATTTGAATGTTTTGAAGCCACAACATCATCGACTAGAATCAGAACAGATTCACCGGAGCTGGTCGGCGCTCTAAAACGTGTCAGTTCGGCTCGTTTGGACTCTGACACGGTTGTTTGTTTCTGTCGACAGTTTTGTTGTTAATAAAGTTTCATAAAAAATTCAGGGATGTCCCTTTAACCAAAAGTCGGCTCTTCACTTCTCCTTCTCTTCGTGTTTGTGACGTCGTTTATTTTTCTACTGTCATATTGATGAAACGTTCAGGTTGTACTGAAGACGGCGAGATGCGTTCAGGGGCCGATGAAGAGTCGGTAAACTGTGTTTCTGTTGTTTGGATGGAGAACAGGGTGTTCGACATAAAGATGGCTGTTACCGTGGTTACCTCGACAATCCACCAATAAAAGCTGTGAGAACTTTCAAATGTTTGTTTTGATTCTTATTTTTTATTCAACAGGGGAAAAAAATCGACAAATAAAGATTTTACAGTCACTTTATTCAAACCACATTTCTTCACCAATGTTTTGAAAAGGTTTTTATAGAATTTGATGGAATCATTTCTCTGTAAATACTGAGATGTTAAAGATCACATATTTAAAATCCTCTTCTCCATGTTCCTCTAACTCTAACATGTGTCTCTAGTCTACAAACCCCCCAATGCACACCCAAGCCCTTCCAGAGAGGGGGCGTGGTCAGACACAGCTCATTTACATATTTAAAGGTACAGACACAGAAACAGCCTGTTCTGAGCAGGGCTGAAATAGAGGGGTTTATAGACATGATCAAATACAGGATCAGAGTGGATTTAGAACAAGAAACTTCACACATGTTTTGAGGAGCTCTGACACTTATTTACACTGAAGAAGAAGAGGAGGAGGATATGTCACCTTTAAACTTTCATCTTTAAGACATTTTGATCTCATCAGTTTGGAAGAAAACAAAAAAAAATCAAAATAATCTGAACTCTGAATCAAACGTTAAACAAACTTCAACCTTCACTTTAACCTTTAACCTTTAACCTTTAGTTAAAAGTTTGTCTTTATAAATAAATCTGTGGGGCGATGGTGTTTTGTTGCAAGCGCCATGTACAGAGGCTATAGTCCTCGTTGCAGCAGCTGTGATGTCATCCCCCCCTCTCTCCTCCTAACACTTCCTGTCTCAAACTGTCCGCTCTAAAAAAGACAAACTGAAATCAACATGAGGCGCTGCTCAGACACGTTCTCTGTCAGGTCGGCAGATTTCAAGTCTATGGAGATTTTTAGTTTTGAATCATTTCTTGTTGACGTGGTCTTGGTTTCAGAGTTTTGGGTTTGTGGCTGAAGTTCTGGAGGATCCTGGAGCGGATCTGGTGCAGGTTGATGCCGTAGATGATGGGGTTGATGAGGGGCGGGACCACCAGGAACTCTGCCGCCAGTGCGTTCTTCACCATCTGCAGCTCGCCGCCGCCGTAACGAGAGTACATGACGTCAAACATGAGCGAGCTGGTGAAGACGAGCAGCGTGACCAGGTGTGGCAGACACGTCTGTATGAACTTCCTGCGGTTGGCGTGGACACGCAGCGAGGCGCGGACCAGGTGTGTGTAGGACACCACGATGAGAACTGTCTGCGAGATGTGCGAGAACGTGAGCACGAAGCCGTAGATGTTGTTGACCACGGTGTCGGAGCACGACAGCTTCACTACCTCCCAGTTGGTGCAGAAGATTTTGGGGATGTGGCGCCCGCAGAGCGGCAGGCGGGCGGTCAGCGTTACGCCCACTGATATCTCCAGCAGCGAGAAACTCCAGGTGAGGAGCAGCAGCTGCACCACTCGCTGCGTGGTCATCACCGTGTGGTACTGCAGCGGCTTACAAATCGCCAGGTAACGGTCGAACGCCATGACGGTCAGACTTGTGAACTCAACAAACACGTAACTATAAACCACGAAGATCTGAGTCAGGCAGCCGGCGTACGTGATGACGTGCGAGTCGGCCAGGAGGTCGTGGAGGAGTTTGGGGTAGAAGCTGGACGCCCCGCAGATTCCATTAAAACAAAGGTTACACAGGAAGATGTAGATGGGCTCGTGGAGCGACTTCTCCAGCCACACGACCACGATGAGCGTCAGGTTGATGAAGATGGTGAGCAGGTACGACACGAGGGCGAACGAGAAGTACACGTGACGATTTGTCAGAGAGGCGTTCAGACCCTGAAGAACAAAAACCAGCTCTGAGGTGTTCTCCATCGTGACACAGAAACCCTGAACGCAGAGTCACGTCAGAGAGGAACGCACGCCATCAGACAGGAAGTACAAATCATCAAACAGGAAGTACACAACATCAGAGAGAAACGCACGCCATCAGACAGGAAGTACAAATCATCAAACAGGGAGTACACAACATCAGAGAGAAACGCACGCCATCAGACAGGAAGTACAAATCATCAAACAGGAAGTACAAATCATCAGAGAGAAACGCACGCCATCAGACAGGAAGTACAAATCATCAAACAGGAAGTACACAACATCAGAGAGAAACGCACGCCATCAGACAGGAAGTACAAATCATCAAACAGGAAATACACGTCATCAGAGAGAAACGCACGCCATCAGACAGGAAGTACAAATCATCAAACAGGAAGTACACAACATCAGAGAGAAACGCACGCCATCAGACAGGAAGTACAAATCATCAAACAGGAAATACACGTCATCAGAGAGGAATGAACGTCATCAGAGAGAAACTGGAGAGATGCTCGCTCACATTCAGTCAAACTGAATCCAAACGTGAACAGAACGCAGCGCGTCACTGCTGCAGGTTCAACACAGATCAAAGTGAAAGATTCATGATTTAAAGGTTCACACTGATGGTCACAGAGGATCTGAAGAGACGTTCAGGTTCTTTAAAAACAGAATCTTTCAAACTCAACAGAAGAAGAAGATGAAGCTGCTCTGTGAAGAAACAAAGTGAGACATGACTCCTCATATGAAACATTCAGCTGCAGACTCAGTTACATCACAGCAGAAAAACAGGAAAACAAACAGATTCAATTCTGGTTTTAAGGTCACACTTAAAAACTTTCAGGGCGACACTTTGACTTGTTCATGAACGCTTCATGAGCAGACAATCAGAGAAAACATCACGCCATCACACAGAGACGAGCCGCCAAGCGAGCAGCCGACCTCTGCTCAGCCTGCAGCCGCACTTATACCTGATCCTCACAGACAGGTGATGTCATCAGAGAGGAGCTGAGGCCACGCCCCCCCCCCCTCCAGTCGATCAGAAGTCTTCAGTGGCTGCGTTTGGAGATCTCCTGAGTCAGTCTTTTTTTTTAGCTCTCAGGATATCTGATCATAAAAAACAAATTCCTGCTCTTAAACTTTCAGGTGAACTTTACCTGAGCATGTATCTGTTCTTTCACTCCTCACATTTCAACCTGTTTCTTTGTCTTTCCAGCCTCCATGTATGAACACTGACCACAGTCTGCATAAAACGACTCAGTGACGTCATCACTGGTTTCTGAAGAGGAACTCTTTAGCACCCATTCATAGGCTGGACTACGGTGGCCCTGAAGGTCAACTGTCTAAATATTTCATGATTGCGAAAAACATTTCACAACATGCAAAAATATTCATGAAGCACAAAAACATTTAAAAAACGGGGCGCTTGTGGCGCAGTGGTTAGTGCGCGCGCCCCATGTGTGGAGGCTGTAGTCCTCCATACATGGGGCGCGCGCTCTTACCACTGAGCCCGAGTTCAAATCCGACTTGTGGTTCATTTCCTGCATGTCATTCCCCTCTCTCTCTCTCTCCCTGATTTCCAGGTCTATCCACTGTCCTATCTCTCGAATAAAGGCAAAAAAAAGCCCAAAAATAAATCTAAAAAAAAACTAAAAATATTTTATTTCGTTTGGGATTGGACCGTCAGTACAGTCATGTGACCTGTCGTCTCCGGTGATAGTTTCTCAGACCGTCTTCGAGTTTTGAACGTTCAGAGGAGAGTTTTAGTTTGAGAAGATAGGAAGCCTTCAAGTCAACTTCCATAATAACTGGATACTTGTTGTGTAGTAGTCCAGTCCAGGACGTGGAGCATGTAGGACCCTCCTGCTTAGTTGGTAGTTTGGAGTAAAGGTCATCACCTGAGTTCACCTGCATGCTCGTTTACGTGCCGTCTCGTTCAGTTCACGTGTCACGATGATGCGTGGAATGCCATTGTTATGTTGAAACGGCGAGCGAGTAGAAGTCATTATTTTCGTTATTAGTCAGTCCAATCACAAACGAGTAGTATGGGCCTCCTCTTTCCGTTTTGTCAAATAAATTGAAGCAGGTGAAATGTTTTTGCAGTCCCTATAATATTTGTATATTTGTTTTACACGTTTGTCTTTTTCTTCTTTCTTCGTTTGGTGTCTAACCTCTCCGACCGTTCAGAGCCGCCGTCGCTCCTGAGGACGCGGTAGAGGGGCTAAAAGTGGGACTGACTACTTGAGGTCCGAGTCGAGGACGAGACCCTTATTGGGCCTAAAATAAAATGTAAGTGTAGTTTCACATTAGGGACACGGACCCCAAAGTCTGGTTCACTGGACCATACCGAGTCCCCTTGAAGAGGGGGTCTAGGGCCCGGGTCCCGTGCTAGATGTGTTGCTTCTTCTTCTTTCTGCTTCTTGATTTTCAAACCAAGTATGTGCATACCGCCCCCTGCTGTGTGTGAAAACTGGCCGAATGAAAACGATCCTCGACTCTTTCTCAACTCTGAAAGAAAGTTTAAAAAAGTCAAATCAATTAAAAAGTAAAAGAATGCATACATTACAAACAAATACACTGAAGCAGTGTGTGATCAAAGATCTCAGGCTGCATTCACACCCGGTCTGGTTCCGGGACAAACTCTGGTCCAAACCTCCAAACCGGGGGTTTCGGGGATTGGCCGTAGGTGACTACACGATCCAGACCAAAAAAGTGAACGAAACAGCAGTGCATTGTGGGTTGAATCAGCCAGATTCTTCAGAATAAACAGCAAATGTCAAATAGGCTTAGAATGGTTTAACATCACTCCGGTCGATACGGCAGTTTAACCATTTCACTTTATGGATCTAAATACTGACAAACTGCACCGCGCTACAGGACGCCATTCTTCCACTTTCCTGTTGTTTACCCCGGGGTCGTAGTGCAGCATCAGCCCCAACATGTAGCAGGTGGCTCCGGTACACAACATGTGACTTTGGGGAGCTCCACAAAGTGCAGTGTGAGTCACTTTGTTCACACGTGTTACGATCTGTGTCAGTGAGAACCAATCCCTCGGACAGGTGTGGCAGATCTAGGAGTTCCTGAGCTCTCAAGTCTGACGATTATTGAAAACTGAACTCTCTGAAGTTTAAACATGACGTACGAAGAAGTGTTGGACATTCCTTGATGTCCGTCTCTGTGGACTAAAGTGTCTGCTAAATGAGTTGTAGAATTTATTTCTTCAAAGAGGAAATCTGTGGAAAAAGAAACACTAAAGTGGTTTTTAACGTCTCAGAGAGTCAGTGTCTCCCTGTAGTCTCAGTGATGATAAAGAAGAACACTGCTGCATCTTTGAATGTCTCATTTCACTTTAACAAACTCTCAGACAGTAATATCCACCTGATGACATCACACATTGACCTTATGACATCACACATTGACCTTTGTTACTGTTCCTTTGAGCTGTTTGACCTCACTTTGGGATCCCTAACCACTTCCTGTTTCTGTGCTTAACTTCCTGTCCTAACCTTCCATCTACAGGAAGCTCCTTACTTTATTTCAAAATAAAAGCACACAGCAAGTACTCTCAGCTTAAGACAGGGCAGACCTTCAAATTAATAGCCTCACAGATTTTTTTAAAATGTGAAATAATGGAATTTCAAACATGAGATTTAAAGTTGTAATTGTTTGACTGCCTTGAGTTTGAACAGTGAACATACGTAACAGTTCTTTAAAAACAAATCAAACCTACAGTTGAGCTCTGAAGTGATTCTTCAAAATAAAAACCTTCAACACGTGCACATAAACAAACAGACCGCTGATATCTCAGGTCAAAGGTCACTCCAGCACGTCAACATGTGGGTCCCTGAGGCGTCCTTACATCAGACACTGTTTCCACTATTTCCCTCTGAAGCAAATTACCTTCAGAGCTGTTAACCAGTGAGACCAATCAGCCAGCAGACCTCCGCTCTGGTTCCTGAGAGAGACCATAATGACCTCCCCTCAGGCCCCCACACCTCAGGATGGACACACACACACACACACACACACACACACACACACACGTAAACAACAAACAGATGAACAAAGTCTTAATCTTTTTCTTGACTTTTGATCTTTATTTCTGATGTTTAACACAAAGAACACGACATCGTGGACTGCTTGTTCTCTTTTTGAACAGTTGGAGGTCGGACGGGTCACACGAGCTGACGGAGAGAAACTTCATCCGTTCTAAACAGTTTTTACTGAAAATGAGTAACTAGCTAGTTTCCAGTTATTACTATCAAAAAGTTACTAACGGCGTAACTGCTGACCTCATATTCATATTCTCATTTTTTAGTGTTGCTTTGACAACTCGCACATTTCAAATATCACCGTGATCATTTTTGACGTGTGGTTATTTAACCGATTAGATCTCTGAAGACGACCGACTCAACGGTTGATATGAAGCTCGTCGCCGCCAATTCACCTGTCTATCAGTCTACAGTCCGTCACATGGAGGAGCAGGCGGCGTTTAAAACCAAGCCGGCTGGCATGGATCGCTCATCCTCGTGAGCTGCACCTGGGTCTGCAGGGGTTTGCAGGGTCTGCAGCGTCTGTGGCGTCTGCGGCGTCTGCAGCGTCTGTGGCGTCTGTGGGGTCTGCAGCGTCTGTGGCGTCTGCGGCGTCTGCGGCATCTGCGGCATCTGCGGGGTCCTCATTCCTGTAACGCTGCCAGACTCAACCCTGTAATGTTAAGAGCTCAGACAATAAGGCCACCTTCATCCTTTGCGCTGGTTTCATCAACTTTGATGGATTTGGTTTATTCGTACGCAGATATTCTCTCGCCGCTTAAAGTCGTTCACAGCTGGATATTTAAAGACTTGTGCTAAAACTGCATCCACATGTTCGGGCGTTTGTTGGCCGACGCTGAAGTTGATCCAGTCATTTCCTGTAGTACCTACAGTGGCCACTGGAGGCTGGCTCCAAAAGTGAGTCGATCCTCATAGAGACCCAGTTAGATGAATCTAGATGGCCCCCTCCCATCA